CGAAGAAAAACAAAGTCAAACTCTGACAAGGAAGCGAGCGCAGCAACAGCCTGACAGAGGATAGAGGACGCGCAAAAAAAATTAGAAGAGGAGAGAGTATGTACAATAAAAAGATTTCCCACTGGAATAAAGATTCATTAATATTTTCCGGTTCTATTAGTTAGCTGCAACGAAACCCAAACTGCCTAATTTTTGGCTGGTAAGTGATTACACAAGAATCTCTTTATTATTATATCCACATGTTCATGAAATTTTGTCATCTTCATAGCCATCGCTTACACCTTCTGCGGATCCTGATAAAATAAAATCAGTGAAATTGCAGACAATGTGTACAGTATCTGATCCTGAACATCCCATTAGGTATTTGATTATTTATTTCCATTTGTCAATAACTTTGCAGCTTATTAAATACCTTCTATTCGTATATTCGTAGTGTAAAAAATTTAATTCCAACAAAGTTTACAGAAGTTAAGGATCCTGATTCGAAGAAGATAAATTTCGTTTGTCCGTCATGTCGTAGAACATTGACAAATTCTATCAAGATTTGTTGTATGTATTCGAATACTACCTTATTAGTCATTCGGAACGTCTAATTGATAAATATTTATATCCTAGTAATGAAACCATGTGGACACGTCATTTGCAAAATATGCGTGGAAAAGTTTATTAAAAATTCAAAAAAATGTTTTGTTTGTGATGTTAAATGTAAAGAGAAAGATATTACTGATATGTCTGGAGAAGGTAATGGAAATAGCCTTGAATTAATGAGTCAATGAGAGTGAATTAATTATAATACTTTTTAATTTTAGGAACCGGATTTGCGAGTGGTGGAGGAAAAGTGGTAGCCGAACGATTTGATGTTGCATTTCAATAAACAAAATTTTTTGACGTGTATGCGATTTTCACTAATTGAGAACTAATTAGGATGTACCTGTAATTGTACAGACATGGTTGCTGCAACTTTGGTTGCATTATTGCAGCAATTCCAACTAACTTAAATAACTTTGGGATACACGTTAAGTAGGATGTTACTCATTAACTTTCAACGACATTAGTTAACTAAAATCGATGATTATTGATTAATGCTCTAAAAGACATTTTGAATTGTACTAATATTTTTTGAAGTTAAATTTTAAAATTACAGTATTAAATTTTGTACATATTATTCAAAATTTTAGTGAATCATAGTTTACAATGAAACAATTCATTTCTATAAAAATTTAATTGTCTAATTATTTATAAATATAGAAGAATAATATAATAACATGTTATAAGAGTTGTTTATATATGAATTGGAATTTATTTATAAAATAAGTATGTTAATACACAAGCATGTTTTTAGGCAATGAGTGTGGATTAAATTAAATAGACCTTGATATATATCTTGTTATAAGGATCCTAATAATTTAATTCAATTTGATTTTTGATTCTCAGATTTATATTAAATTTAATATATAGGTTATAATCCACCATTATTTTAATAGTGTTCTGAACCTTATGTGAGTTTATACAAATCTGTTCAATTTCAATTTTTGGGATCATACCTTGTTATATATAAATTAAATAAAGAAATAATAATAATAAAATAAATTAATTGATTTTTTTTTTAATTATTTTTAAGTTAAAAATAACAGTATTAAGATAAAATTATTTAATATAATAAATATATATCTATATTATTAAGATATATAAAATAATTAAATTATAATGCAATTAAATTATTTTTGAAAATTTTAAAATTAAATTAATAATAAAATAATTTATATTATATACAATATATTTTTAATAAAATAATTTTATATAATTAATACTGTTAATTAAATTCTAATTTCAACAATCTCTTTATATATTTTATTAATTTGATATGTAATTATTAATTATAAAAAGATATTTCAAAAACTTCAAAGGTAATAAGATTTACTATTTATAAAAACTTCAAATTTTATTAATAAAAAATATATACTTAATAAGATTATAAATAAATTGGTATAAGCAATTAATAATTTTTAATATAATTATTTCAATAAAATTTGTAAATTTTTGTTTATAAAAATCGATATTAATTTAATTTCTACTTTGAATTAAGAGCTTCGCATATACATAATTACTCTTAATAAAGTAATAGTAAAACTGGTATTATTTTCATTCTATACTTTTATATTTTTTTTGATTAGTACTATAATGTAGATAATGATACTCTAAGTTTTGTGGACTTATGAATGCACAAAAAAATATTTTGTTCTTAAAAAACTATTATATTTATTTTACTTAATAAAACATTAAGCATTGAATCAAAAATAGTAATACATATTAGGATAAATATAACAGTACGCATGTATATCATTTTTCTTATATAATATTTTCTACAAATCAAAAAATTTTTTCATAATCATCTGACATGTCTGGTTCTAAAATTTGAGTTATCATCAGTGTTTATCTAGATAAAAATTACTTTTGAAATGAGCTTCTCGTGGAAAATCGCTGGCATCAGGTATTAAGAATCTGCAAAGTTATAAACTTTTATAATGTAATACAGTAAGACGTTCCCAATATGTACACCCTGCCTTATATTCGGCATTCCGTTTGTTTAGTTACCTTAAATATACTCAAGTATGTGCTCGAGTAGTTCGAAACTCTTTGAAAGAAGAACAACGACTGGTAGCGCAGCGACGAGACGAACAAGGCCTTAAATACGCGAAGTGGGAATCCGGAAAGCAAGGAGAATTAGTAAGCACATCTATATAACATAATTGTCTGTATTATTTGTAACTACCAGAAACTTACTGTCTCGCCTTTATTAGAAACCTGTCGAGGAGCAACGCACTGGTTGATTCGCATTTATGATTCATTTCATATAGTGATAAGCTTATTTTTATACGATGTGAGATAGACTAATGAATTACGTAGAAAACGTAATTAATTTCCAATTCTTATGACGTATTACGTGCCAGTGGCGACTTTGATTCAAGGTGATAGTTAATATAGTTATAAGAAAGTGAAGCAATTGTATCTATTACTGTTTTTCTTATATAAAATGGTAAAGTTTAATATTGTGTACTTGTAATTGTTACAATATGAGTCAAAAAATTTTTTTAAAATTAAATTTTGTATCATTAAATTAAATATATTTCTTAAAAAGAAATTTCTAATTGAAAGATTTTTTGGTTTTTATTTTAATTAAATACAATATTATTTAATAAAAGTTTTATAAATTATTTTTATACAGCTTTATATAATTAATTAATGGGTTATAAATAAAGTTTATATTATACATTAAACATTGAAATTAAAAAAAATATTAATTATAATATAATAAATAAATTGTAATAATAATTATACTATTTTTTATTTTATTAAATTACCGACTAAGAATAAGATAAAAGCAGGATTTATCACGTGACAATGTACTGGGAAAAATTCCGATGTCAGGACGACAGGGTTTTCTTTGCTCAATGTCACATACCGATTCCAGAACGCCACCAGCAAACGTCGAATTCTTGACTTCGATTGAAATAAGGCTTATTCTTCGCGAAGCTGTTATAAATTGTTCCGAAAGGGGATTATACTTTGCAGCGAAATGGTACGTAAATTTACTTTCGATCTTTTGTTTTATACCTAATTAAACTTTTTATTGCGACTTATTAAGGGCCGCCGAAACCTTGGATGGGCTTCCGACATCTGATGAATCTTCAGAGGAAATGAAAATGGATATTTCCCACGATTCATTTTTTCAACAAAAACAAAAATCTACATATCTTGATCGAGTCGAATATGACAAATATCTTCTCGGAAAATCTTACTTTGATGTTAAAGAATTTGATCGGGCTGCCTTTGTTCTAGAAAAATGTAGATCTGCAAAATGTAGATTTTTGAGAATTTATTCTAAATATTTGGTATGCTGAATATTAATTCACTAGTATATATAAATCCATATTTTGAAAATTCTTTTGATCCATAGGCCGGAGAGAAAAGGAAGGAGGAAGAAAGGCAAGATATCATGGGTATTGGGATAATTGAATTTTTAATTATAATTAATACCATTCATACTTATTGTTGCAATATTCTAATTTTGTACGTGATGTATTATATTAGGGCCCTTGGAAAACGAAAAGAGCTTAAATAAAGAAATTCAAAGTTTGTGGGAAGAGATGGAATCATGGCGTGAAGAAGAAGAGGAAATGGATGGGTTTCTAGTATACCTGTAATTTCTTCGTTGCTTTTTACATTTTGCCTTATTATAAATGAAATCATCTTTATTAATACTGCCTGTCATTTTTAGATACGGTCTTATCATGAAACAAAAGAACCCGCAATCAAAAGGCATCAAAGATATATTTTTGGATTCCGTATGCAGATATCATTATAATTGGAGCGCTTGGTTAGAATTAGCAAGTTGTATAACAACTAAAGATATGGTGTGTTTATTATTTTATTTCATTTTTTTTAATTCATCATATTATCATTTAATCAAGTATATACGTCATTTTAGCTAGAAGAAGTTGTCAATCTACTACCGGATACATTTATGACAAAGTTTTTCAGAATTTATATGTCTGTTGAGTTGTTGGGAACACCACAAAGCTTTAGAGATTTGGTCGACGCTGAATTTCGAGAGAGATTTCCTAACAGTAAATTTCTACAAACTCAGGAAGCACTGATGTATTATCACAATAGAGGTATGTTTTACTAGATTAATTATTTTTACATTCAGCTCTTATTCTAAAGGACTTTTTTAATTTAGACTATGCTGGATCAGAAGCAGTATTTGATGAGATAATTAAAACTGACCCATACAGACTTGAAGAAATGGATATTTATTCAAATATCTTATATGTGATGGAAATGAAATTTGCAAAGCTAAGTTTTTTAGCACACATGTGCGCATTTACAGATAAATACCGTTCTGAGACCATGTGCGTTATAGGTAAATTGAAATTATTCTTTATAATTGGCATTATTTTAAATCGTACTTATACATCAAAAATTCCTACGTAGGAAATTATTACAGCTCGAAAGGGGATCGTGTTAAGGCCATTTCATATTTCAGAAGAGCATTGCAAGTGAACAGGAATTGTTTATCTGCGTGGACTTTGATGGGGCATGAATACGTAGAATTGAAAAATACTCATGCTGCAGTTATTTCGTATAAACGAGCAGTAGGTAACATCAAACATTATAAATAAGTGAATAGTAATGATTCGGATAAAAAACCACATATCCTAATATTCATCTTGGAAATGTTTGTGTAGAGATAAATTCTAGGGATTATCGGGCGTGGTGTGGTCTTGGACAAACATATGAATTTCTAAAAATGCCATATTATGCTTTGTACTATCTCCAACGTTCCTTGGCAATAAGGTTGGTTCCTGGATTGTCGAAGTATTAATTATATATTTCCTTGACCTAATTAATATATTTACTCTAGACCATATGATGCACGAATGTGGATACGGTTAGGGGCGCTTTACGAACAAATTAATGTTACTCGCGAGTCGATTAAAGCCTATACTCGAGCCCTTTCATGTACCGATATAGATATAAATACTGAAGCTCAAGCTACAGTAAAATTGGCTTCTTTATACGCAAATTCTTCAAAACCTGATAAAGAAAAAGCTGCGGAACTTTATACCAAAATACTTAAACGAAAGGATGTAAGCGTGTTTTATTAAATAATCTAAGAAATTCTTGGTTCCGGTTTCTTATTAAATTAATTGAAAATTTTCAGTTTCCGATAGAAGAAGAAGATATTAGAGCAGCTGAATTATTTTTAAGCGGTTACAAGCAAGAAAATCAAGAATTCGCTGGCACATCGGATCAAAATATGTCTATTTTGAATGGCGAGAAAACTGTGAGCACATAACACTCAATATTATTTCGTTTTTAGTTACTTTATGAGTGACTATTTTTTTCTTATTCATATTAAACCTCAAAATTCTATTTTTTTGGAACTAATTTGCATGTATAAATGATATTACTAAATCAAGATTTCTTACTTAACTAACAGCCTCAAGGATCTAGGACTACAATGAATTACTCTTCTGAAGAGTCAAGAATGCGGAACAGCTGATAGCTAAAAGTAGGAAATACAAAGACAATTAGAGATAAAAAGGAAGCCCTAGATAATAATGGGAAAAATATTATTGAGCAACAACAAAACGATGCAGCATATCAAATCAAAGATGAAAAGAAACTTGATGATCGGAGGTTGACAATGATCAAAATATTTAATCTTCGACGACATTCTTATCACTGAATTTTTCATACCCCCCAAAAAATTAAATTTGCCGTCTTTGAGAGATTTTTAAAATAGGATGTTTATGTAAAATGAAATCCCGTAATACCAAAAAGTTCAAAATTTGTTAATAAATTGATTTTACTGAGTTCATTTTATTTCGTTTAAAAAAAAATTAAAGTACAAACCAGTCGACTTTATTTTGCATCATCCTAAACATCTATTTAAATAATATTTGAATTATAATTGATAAAAGCAATATTGTTTGATATCAATTAAAATTAATTATTTCCAATTAAAATTATTTTATTAATTGCAATCTATTAATATAGCATGAAATTTGATTAAAATATAAAGTAAATTATTAAAGTTTTTGTGTAAAATTTTTTTTATAAAAGTAGTTATATTCAATGATTAGTAAATTAATTTTTATATGAATTTTTTGTGATAAATTTTTATATGCTGTATCTAAATTAACATTTTGCATATGAAATAGCATATATATATTTATTTCAAAAAAGAATTGTTTCTTTCTCCTTTCAATATTTACAGAATTGGTAAAAAGAAAACAAAATTTATTATTATTTATTTTTATTAATAAACTTTGTTTTGTAAATCGTATTTAAAAATTATTTTCATTATAAAATATGATCGATATCAAATATTCATTATATACAATATGTAATTAATAAGATTTTCTTATGTTGATGAATAATGCTTGGTTGGTTGGTTTCATAAAGGGATTGTGAAGAAAAATGGAGAATAGCACAAAACACTTGATTCAATAGAATTAGTCGAACACCAATATTATAAATAAATTCTATAGTATATGAATTGAAGAAATACAACGAGACAACTATTTGAAACATACGGAAACCAACTATTGCATAAACATCTTAATTTTAATCCAACTTGAAAAATATTCAGAAACGATGATCAGGCGATTTCCAAGGATTAACATTACGTTCTCCTAAGGGGGGTTGATTTAATATCCGGCTGCCTGTCCAGTCTTTCTAAAATCGCTTGCAGCTATTGAAAAAAAATACGTTATTAATTAACTGAAAAAGCTTTATATGAAAGGACACCTAAAAATTATACCGTGAACAGTTCCATTTTCAAATTTTCTGACGGCTTGCACCTGACATGAAAAGGTCCTATCTTCTATATTATGCAATTGTATCTAAAAAAAAAAAGGTGAACCGGAATAAATACGAATAGATTAAACGATTGAATACGTTGACGAATACTTACAACGTGCCCAATACCCAACAGCCTATTTATCAATTCATATTTAAATCCACTTTCCATTCCCAACTAATATAACAACACCCAATTAGTTTTCTTGGAATTATATAGTTTAGTAAAAGCAGTGCTCAAACCGAATAACTTACCACATTGGGTAACAATTGTTGATGCACTCTAGGAGAACTTATAGCTTGCAAAATATTCATGTCATAATCATACACATTCAACAAAACCTTTTAAGATAAATTAAACGTCAAGTATTGAATTTGAATTTTCAATGTTTCATGATGTATCTGAGTATCCATTACCTGTAATACGGCGGTAAGTATACGTGTGCCACCGCTACCACCGAGCGCCAACTCAAATTTTCCGTTTCTCTCTACAATTGTAGGCACAGTTGATGATAATGGTCGTTTCCCGGGAGCTTTGATGACGGTGGATAAATTGAATAAAAAATTTCATATTTTCTCGGTTGCGCAAACAAACAGGACATCACGTACCAACAAAATTATACGGTGAAGGCCATAATCCAAATGCGTTCGGTTTACCAGGTATTGAGAAATCGTCCATCTCATCATTTAAAATAATACCTGTGATCGGATCCATCACTTGCGATCCCCATATTAAGTTAATCTAATTAGGCGCGTGCGCTTAAATTAATAACATTCCTCTTTAGAAATCAACTTTTAATGCAAAAAAAAAAAGGCTTACCGTTGAAGTAAAAGACACCGCAAACTCGGATTCATCCACCACTGATATGTGCGTGGTGCCATGATCTTCGGTGAAATCAAAGACCGGGTGGTAGTACTCAGGACCAAATGTATGGTTCTACAATAAAATAATATTACTCATGATAATCGCCTACAAGGTACTGAAGAGCAAATTAACTTACATCCGACACATTCCTCCTCACAATAGACGCGTACTCTTTTGATATAATTTCTTTCACGCGTCGTTCATGTTCCACTGCATCGTCGAACTTCGTTTTCAGAAAGAACATGGTTACCAATGACAAGAAATTTCTATTCACGAGGGTATAATAAATAAATAATAACACTCACGTATTTGGGATCACCCATTTCAGTACGTCGTGCAAATCCAACTTTTATTGGGCAGAAAGAACCAAATTAACATGACTTAGGGTGCACACAACTATTTGTTCATCTAATACTTACATTTAATAGTTTCAACAATTCTAATTTTGAAATTATGTTAATAAGTAAAACGTGGCTAGCAACACGGAATTATGAAAAAAACTAGAAAGAAAAGGAATACCTTTGCAAATCCAGTCCACTTAATCCAGTTTTCGACATCTCATATTCTTGCAATACATTTAACATAAACAGCAATGCAGCTCCGCTTGTCGGTTCCGGTGATGTTATGATCTGTTTTTCATCATATAAAAAACTTCCTGTTACACGAGAAAAGAAATTTCTCCACAGAATTCACTAAACTCACTTTTCGTCCGCGATAAGATCCAACGAGAGGTTTCCGCATAACCGGTTGATAATTTGCAAAATCATGTTCTGTCATTATCCCTCCTCTCGAATTTATCTCCCTAATTAAAGATTTGGCGATTGAACCCTACATAAGTGGGGTTAATTAGATAACTTTTTTTTTCGAAAATATTGACACACAACCAAGTATCTCATTCACATTACCTCATAGAATTCAGTGTAATTATTCGCAATGATCTCCAATGATCGAGAAAAATTTAATCGGTATAGCATCTCACCTTCTTCGAGGATACGACCCGATGGTGCATAAATCGATCGAAAGGCAGGATCGGTTTCCATTAATGACTTGTACGCCTAAAATGTGGTAAAAATTCCTATAAATTTCCTTTCCATGTAAAAAAAAAAATCGGAATTAACAAACATCCTCCTTCAGCTCACCTTTAATCTCAAAGCTAATTCTGTGCCCACGGGAAATCCGTCACGACACAACTTGATTGATGGCTCGAACAATCTTCTCCAGGGTAGCTTTCCGTGTCTAATTTTTATAAATATTAGGTGTGATTGTTAAGTAAAGAAGCGTGCGTTTTTTTCAACTTTTTGATGGAACACACCTTTCATGTGCAAGTTTCATTCCTCGGATCTCTCCGCTGGAAGAGGAAAGGTGATAGTTAGTAAACGTGGTCAGCTGATTTCCACTACACATAGGTAAAAACAAAACTCACGGTACACCTACGGCTAGCCCCCCAATCGCAGCCAAAGTTTCATTTCTCCCATACATATTCTGACTGGCTCCCGCGGGTGCTGACTCCCTGCAATCTATCATCTCGACTGTTCCATTTGGTAGCCGGATCATCATTAAGCCTCCTCTAAACGCAATGAAAGGACAATGGATGGGTAATGAATAACTTGAGAAAGGCTAATATGATAAAAGTCAAAGAATGAAATAGTGCAATACCCTCCAATCCCGGCCGAAAATGCGTTTACCGAGCCTACACATAGTTCAGTTGCGATAGCTGCGTCAACTGCTGAGCCTCCTTCTTTTAATACTATAAAATGGCAAGGGACGATGTTAATGTCTTTCTAGGTCAAATCAGTCAACCGTAGTCTTGCCAATTGTAAAAACCTACCATCAACCCCAATGTGCGAACAAACATCTAATTCCGAGGCGACAGCACCGTGCTTCGCAGTGATTAAGCCCACATGTTCGTTGTTTCGGGAACTCGATTTTACTATTCGTTGGAAAGAAAATTATATTAGAAGAAATTCTTTCGGAAAAAACTGCGGTTGAATTCTGAGATTATGAAAAGTTCAGGGGTAACTATCTTTAATTTACAGGTATCGTATGCACAATCTGTTTAATTAATTACCATCAATCAACGGCAACGAAAGCACCATGAATTCGAACATTATAAATATCAACAACAACATTAATAACACTTCTTTGAATGATAGTTTGAAACATGAATTATGGAAATCTGAGTCATCGTCATCAGTGAAATAACGAGTTCTACGTCTATTGTTACCACGTTGGTCGAGTTCGCCGTTGATGTAAGCGTTTTCGATTGAATGATATTTGAAAGCCATCATTGAGGGCAGAGGATTGGAGATAATTAAAATAATTTCTTTTCGAACTAATCCTTATTATTTTTTAATTATGCGATATACGAAATTGATTAATAAAAAAAATACAATTTAATCAAATCTTTTGTCAAGATGGAATTCTAGGATTTCATTTGATTCAAGATTTATATATGCGGATACATAACAATCGAATTAATAAGTTAAAATGGTTTGGGGGGAGAAGGGGCAGTTACTGTAAGGATCGTTTTGAAATGTGATTATTGACAGTAGATTCGCCAAAGATGGTTTGACTAAAACAATGAACCCAGATAAAACATGTCACTCGCTCGTCGATGATTACCGTAATCGAATGGACGACATGCAATACGAAAGTATATACCAGAACGAAAAAATTGGTATGGTAAAAAACCAAAGTTCTATCGATTACGCTTATCGAAACACTTTAACATAAAAAAAAAGAAAAGACGAAAACACTACACTATATAAATTCATGTCTCGGATTTACTTTTTAGCCCTGCTCGGTTGATTGAAATTAAATTTCAATTATTCTAGTTATCTTGTGACTTTTATTTTAGATAAAAAAAAACTGTCTTCTGACCTGCACGCAATAATTTCAAACCTCCATCCAGTATACATGCACCTTATTTTACTCGTATTAGCAATCGAAAGGGGCTGTTAAAGCTAGCGTGACTTGCACAAGGCCGTTTAAATTAGATCGATGCCTTTTTTGGTGTAAATTTCTTCTGAGATTAAGTAGATTAGGTTATTCTGGATTCCAATCCGGTAAAAATTGATAACGTGTCGTTTCACAAATTGGTCACGATTTATTTACAAAAAAACAATTACGAAATCTTACGTAGCCAGGGATTACTACTGGTATTATTCATGCAATTTATTTTCTTCCTATCAAATATCTCCGTTTAGCAGCCAAAAGTCACAATTGTTAGCGTAAATTACAAACCGTTTTTTTTTTGTTTACATTAAAAAAAAAAAACAAAAACAATCGGAAAAAATTTTTTGTTATATTGTTGATATATGAGTAATTTGTTTTCGAAAACAGTCAGAATTATCCGAAAAATTATGTCCAGCATTTTTCAAAGATAATTGTCCATATTACTTTACTAATAGATATATAATATAAAAGAAAATGAATGAGGTAAATAATGACGATACTATACTTTAATATATGATTAAAAAAATGATAAATTATTTTTGTCCTCATTTTAAGAATACGGTATTTAATGTAATTATAAAATTAATAAAATACACTTGATAAAAAAATTTTTTAACAAAAAAAAAAAAATATTATTATTATTTATTTATTTTATTACTTATAATATATAGATATACAGTCAAACCTGGTTATACCAGCCCAGTTTATACCAAATTTATCTTATAATGAATAAAATATTTAATACAAACTTATAATAATAATTATTATCTATTTATAATGAATTTTTATGATACTATATTATATAACAGTTCCAGCGAATTATTATTAAAATTAATAATAAAAATATATTATTTATACCAATCTAGCCAATCAAATCAAATCAAATTAATAATTATAAAAAAATTTTTTTAAAAAATTATACTTTAATTAAAATGAATATCTCTTTAACTAAAAAATCCAAACATTATGCTTTAACAGCTTTAATTAAAAAAAACATATCTTAAAAAGAAACAATATTCTAAAATAAAAAATAAAGAACTTGCACATGAGTTTCAATGTGGTGAATCAACTATTTCTGATATTCTTAAAGAATCAACAAGATAGTTAGCTATTGAATCAGATTTTATTCAAGCAAGTATTAAAAAAAATTGATTACCCAAATGGCCAAACTTAGAAGAAGTATTAGTACTTTAGATACAAAATGTATTAGTGACTAATCAAGATCTTACAGGAGAAATAATTAAAACAAAAGTTAAATAGTTTGCAAATTATCTTAAAATCAAAAAATTTAAAGTATCAAATAATTGATTAAAAGTTTTTAAAGTCTAAAATCATATTCAACTTTGTATTAAACATGATGAAACAGCAGGTATATCTTTGGAAGTTTTGAATAATAGTTGACAAAATATTGAAAATATTTTAAGTTCTTATTAATCACAAGATATTTAAAATATGGATGAAACTGGTTTATTTTGATGAATGAAGCCAAATAAATCATTAGCACAAAATCAAATTATTGATACAAAAAAAGACAAATCATAAATAACTATTTTATATATATATAATGTAACAAGTACTGAAAAGTTACCTGTAACAGTTATTTATTATTATAAGAATTCTCGTTCAATATGTTAACTCAATTATAATTGTAACAATACAAATGATGAAAGGAGTGCCACAATATATGTTACACAAGTGGCATAGACAAGCCAATAGAAGGAGTATTGCAATTGAAATATAACTATTCAAACTGTATCTCTTTAGGATATCTGGAACTTGAAATATTAATAAAACTATATTTTTATAAGTCTTATAGATATTTGTCACATCTTGTGATGACTAGGACCCGAGTTAAATATGGAATTATCATTGGTATCTGGTAAAATACCAATAGGATCTTTATTATTA